ATCAAAAGGTCAGGTCAAAAGGTCAGGTCATCTGTTCCCTTTCGTAAAAGTTGATGCATCTAAAAGTACAGTAACGGCCATCGCATTCAACAGCCGGCAGAACCTACCAGTCGGCGTTCGCTACTGAATGGTTGTGCTAATTTAGTGGACGTACAGATAAAGAATTTTGATTATATTATGTTTTGCCCGTTTTTAAATTTCAGGAAGCGTGTCATTTAGTTTTCGTTACTATACGTAAGTTGCGCAGCGAGTTATCCATTCGGATATAATCTTTCAATTTATAAAAGCCAGGAGACTTCCAAGCCTTTTTCGGCCATTGCTGCCTGCTTCTTTTTTATTTTTTTCCTAGGTTTTGCAACACTTTGCAAAAGGTTTATTAAAGGTCACGCACTTCTCTTGCCATATTAGTCTATACAAACAGAACGGTGCACCTCGAAAAACAGTCTCGTAAGCCTCAAGCACTCCTGTCTGGTCGAGCACTACAAGACAAGTAATTATTTACCACAGATACGTACGCGCTGCTTGTGTGGCTGTCCTTTCGCGCGCACGAGACTCGAGAGCAAAATCAAGACTGAAATCTTGCAAATCATGTCATTAATAGGCTAACAGCTATAATAATATTAAAACCGAACAGTTATGTAATCACTACGGAACTCTGCTTCTTAAACAATACATTTCATAGGAAGGCCTGGCCCAGGAAGCTGTAATAAGAACTTGCATCGAGAGCTATCATAATATTCTAGGCTCTAACCTTACCCACTGACATTCCCTATATATTACAAATGAATTTGTGAAACGTAAGCAAGGTAAGTCGTTGAATATACGCACAGTATGAAAGTTCTAACTCAACGTATTTCTTACGTAAATCTGGTCACGTTTTGTTAATTTGAGACGACTGGTAATGAGTTTTCTAATTACTGTGTGCCATGCCCATATGTCTTTCCTTTTTTAATTGATAAGTAATTATAAATGATGCACTGTCACGGCTTCCTTGTTTTCACTTGGTGCGGACACTTATTTAACGGAAAAATAAAGGGCCGACAACACATCACAGTCATTGCCATAATCATCTGGAATACAGCAATAAGTGACCTATGTACCGCAACCATGTCGTATTCTCAAAACCAGAGTACTGCACAAGTCCAGTGGACTGAGTGGAGCATGCATCCCCGCATTACTGCCAACTTAACGGTGGCATATATGAGCAATATGACACTTATGTCCAGCCTTACACGAACTTCAGGGTGGAACGTTCCCTTCGGCATTAAACTGCTGGTTTCAATCTTGTCATTGATCTTAAACGGTGCAGTGCTTAGCGTGCATTATTTTGTTCCATCATTTGTAAACCCATTCAGCATTTATCTCCTGGCCCTGTTTGGTATCAACATCTTCTATCTGCTCACTAACAGGTGAACCCACTTAAAATCGCCGCAAAATAATTATCTTTTGACCGTTTGGGAGTTCTCTTGGTCGTTAAGATTTGTGGCTTGTGAGAAACCCCTTTTTGTGATAATTTTCAATTTTATACAGTTTAAAAAATACAGCTTGTAATTATTATTATCAATATTATGCGAATTTCTTCATTAGCAATTTTGGCGAACTGAATTATGGACATACGTGCATACCGTTCTTCATCATGTCCAGCCGTTTGGGCAAACTACGGTATCATTAATAAACTTGATATTTTACTTCGTAGCTATCTTGTATGTTTCACAAACATATTCGCTAAATAAACGATACTGCTGTAATGAGACATGATAATTATTTTTTATCCTTAACTTTGAAAACACTTGTTAAAACGTCATTGACAGATCGGTCGGAATGTTGGAAGAATTCTACGGAGAATTCCCGGGTGGCTTTCCCGTCTGCGTCTTGTACAATTACAACCGCGTCAGCAGCGTCCTCCCCGTTGCATTCCACGTTCTCATTTCGTGTAATCGCCTGTGGGCCGTGACCTTTCCTGTCTCCTACAAAGACCGCCACACCAAGCTAGTCGCGGTGATCGTGTGCGTAGTCACGATTGCCCTGGTGCATCTCATTAATTTGCCGCCTTTTCTGGTCGATATGTTCGTTCTGTACCCTGTCCGACCGGCTGGGAAAAGCGTCTGTCTGCATGTCTCGGGTTCTATGATGGCATGGAACCAGACTTCCAACGTCCTGAACCGCGTTGTTCCATTGGTTTTTGTTTTCGTCGCGTATTTCTATATTATAGCAGTTCAATGCCGGAAGAAATTACACCAGGGTGGTGTAGGGGCCCAAATTTGTAGCACGTTATCCAGAAGTACCCAGAAAACTGGTTTAAGTGGCTCCGCAGCACAGCAAGGTGAACATACTACCGTTTCCACGTCTAAGCGGTCAAGATTGAGACCGTTTATGGTTCTCACACTGACGTCAATCAGTGTGGCTATCTGCTGGATACCGGCTGACGTATACTACTTCGGAGGAGCATTCTTTCGCATAAAATATTCTGAGGCCTTTTTCAGTGCCATGTCCACACTGTACTCCTTACAAATGGTTTTTGATCCATTGATGTGGGTGTGCAGCCTTCGCTGGAGGAACTAAGGCACCGTATTCACTATTCATTACAAAATACCAATCTATTTTCATTAGCGTTCATGGAAATGTTATTGTCAGTTGACACCTTTGTAAATGCTTAAGTTGGCTGTTTAATTTGTAATTTGGCACCACTGTATGACAAACATCACGCGATTTCCGAAAAACGATCTTTAAATTTTCTATCTCCTAATCATGGATCTTGTTAAGCTGCATAACGGCTGATTATACATCAAATTACGTAGATGTTTCTACGTGCATTAAGAAATGGGTGCGTCAAGAGCTACCCGTAGAACATCCATAATATTTGTATTGACAATGTGGCTAACGAACTTTATACGTACTTCCAGTCGACTTGAACGGTGCATTTTTATATTCACCCTCTCGTACGTTTTTGATTATTAGGTATGTATATGTTATCGCGCTTGCAATTTTAGTTTAACGTTGCATTATAAACATTTCCGATCTTCCTGCTAAGAAAACAGTGCTGGCGCCTAATTAACCTAAAAGAAATAGAAGTCAGAGAAAAACGAAAGATTAGCCTGATTAGCGCAAGTGTTAAAACTCTAATCTTAGCGCTACTCATACAGTAGTTTTCGTTGCTGTATGGCCACCTTATTAACAAAGAAACATAGCTTGGCAGATCGAGTAGCGGACATCTCCTTCGCTTTAATGTGCCCGATAAAAAGCTTGGAGTGCGACCTTATCGGCGCAAACATGATGACCTTCGCTACGCTGCCTTTGCACCAATGTATCTGCACTCCAATATACTCTAAAGCATTGTTCAAGCATGCGAACGCTATTCGGAGCGCGGCAACGTAGATGAATCGGCGAAGAAAACGAGGTCCAACCCCGGTTCCAAAAGCCTTTTTCAGAATGATCGTTTGAGACCAAAACTGAATAAGGCTGTGCTGTGCCTCTTACTTAATTCTCAGGGTTGAGTTTAGCGGATTTACGCAGGCGTCATTTGTAATACAAACTGATAATTACCCGAGGATACCAAAATTTTCGTGTCATCGTTACTGAAACTGCAGCGAGCTGATATTAAACAGTTGTTAGTCGCGATTAGAAAGCGGCTATTTTCACAACAAAAAAGGGTTCCAAATTCTGATACAATTCGCATGCGGTCTCCACTTTGATCCGATACCGTGCACAGACCAGAATGAGCGGTATTCATTTTGCATGCGATCTGGTATTGAAAAATCGACGGAACCAGGAACGACAAACGATAATCAAAGTCAAACGATATCTTATAGGTAAATGCATTTTTCGTTAGATCATTTTTAAAGGTACGAATATTCGCAACTGGAACGATAATTGGGCGCCATTGTACGTCAACATTTAGCACTAACTGCAAGGTCATTCCCATAGGAGAGATACCAAACAGTAATGTACATACAAACGGATGTTAAAATGTGTATACAGGTTGTAAGTGTAACGTAAACCTTGCATGAAAAAGACTCGTGTGACAGAATAAAATACAAACACTGCACTAGCTTTCTTGTTATGGCAACAGCGTTTGAACTTTTTGGTCTGTTTTGAAAAATTCCACCAATATTCCAAACCGATACCAGTCATCGTTAATTTGAGATTATTGTGCACTAAGGAAAATGACTTGTAAAAAACAGAAGTCGAACGCTTCATACATGTGTACTCTGACATATCTGCTTAAACTCTGCGGGATTTTAGAAAAGGAAAAGAACATGAAACGCACTTCTCTGCATTATATTGTGCGGTCTTTTTTGATAATCAGCACATGTACAGTGAATGCGATTCTGGTTTACGCTAGCATAATAAGGGTCATTCGACGGGGAGGGCACATTAGCTTCATTGCCCTGGTCGACGATTTAGAGGGTATCACTGAACCACTCCGTTCTTCCTTGATAATCATGGCCGTGACCTACGCACAAGCGCATGTTTTTCAACTAGATGTCGCCATTCGAAGAGTTTTACAGTTTACCATGCCGGATGGGACAACCGTGCAAGCCAACGCGGACCTCGGATCACGTATGGCTTTGGGAGTTTTTATTGTCACTGTTCTATCTTATTTTCTTATCGATTTGGTAATATGGATGAGAGTGGACAATGAATTCCGCTTCACTGTCAACACTTTCCTGGATCGCAATAGCTCAACAATGGAGGCGCTGGGAATTCCGATGACCCGCGGAAAATTTTATTTGGTATTTATCTTATTGAACCATCCAGCGTTTATATACTGCAGGCTTATCCAGATTACGTTCTTTTTGAGCGGATATGTCCTATGGTCCGGACAGAAGCGATTGTTGAAGGAACTGCGACAAATAAACATCGCTGATGGAGAGCACCATATCTGTCATAGACTGAATGTCGTAGCGGAGTTACACAAAGCATTATTCCGACTGGCTACTGCTATTAACAGATGCTTCGGATGGGTCGCGGCTGTTGCATATTTTGTTGATTCCACGACAATGTTGACATACACTGCAAATCTTAGGCTTTTATCGGACGACCCGGACTATTTTCAGATTTTTCCGACAGTTATTTTTGGGTTTATACTGGTCGCGTTTCCCTATCCCTTTTTGAAAGTGGACTCTTTGGTAAAATTCTGAGGCACTTGGTAAAACTTATAAGAAAATAAGCCTAACTTAAGAACAGTTGAACTTTACAGGATTCCATAATCGAAACAGAAATATGTAATTTAACATTGGAAGCTCTTCCTTTAACAACACCTTTACCGGTAAGGTATTTTAATAAATATTCACGTTTTAAAAAATGTTGCCAGTGCAAGCTACGAGTATCAGCAACGTAGGTACGCTTGAAGCGCTTAACGAAATCTGTTTGTTTTAGGGCAATAAAGTGAAGGCACTCTTTGAGATGTTATTGTTAGCCCAGCAAAAACTAAAACTACAAGCGACAGTCGCTGGATTTTTTAATCTGACCTGGCCTCTGATGATAAAGGTATTTTGTATTTACCAATGCGGAAAGTACAGCACATTATCCAGACTATACAGCATGTGTTTGCAGCTTACACTGCGCATGACCTTACCTAATTAACACTAAATACAAGTACTTACATAGTTTTTGTTTGAAATCAGCCGGTTTGCTGATATTTCTAAAATTAAATATTGAACAAATCGTTAGACCTACAGAGTAACTGTAGTCGTTAGTCAAAATATCAATTTCTGTTGTTTAATCTGCAGACCGTGGCACTTATTGCATCCATAACCGTACTGGCCAACGAATTCATATCAAAGGGCTCTGTCGACATTCACCAAAAGACGAAAACGAATACCACATCTTGAACGTCTTACAGTTTTTGAACAACATGCAGTCAGCCGTACGGTCACTTTTTCGTATACATGCTAGCTTCGAGCTAAGTGAATGCTTTTAGTTTTGCTTGTCGTTGTTATTACTGCTGGACGGTGAAAATCAGTGCTGGGGATCAAGTTGCGGATGCTTGCTAGACAGTTAAGATAATGTTTGCGGTTCGTGGTGTCGGTGATTTAGCTAACCCCTTTTACGTGGATATCTGGCACATTCCATTCCGTCGTACATTTCCGGTAGAAAGGGAAGAAGCGAGAAATAACGAAAACGGAAGGCAGCGCACACATGGTTCTCCACGATTGCTTTTATTTTTCCACAGAACAAAGTAAGTGTATAGCAGATGCCGATGATTGACTATTGCTAACCATCGTCGATCAGTCAGCAGTGTAGCCTTGTAGCGTTCATATGAGCATCAATTCAGCGTCTCTCGTTCAAATGAAAATTACGTGCAGGTTTATTCACGACCAGTTATTACTGCGCGCGCTGAGCGCTCTGTTAGGGGTTTGTTATTCGTCAGATGACCGCATTTCTCCTTCCAAAAAACGAGTGCAGATTGCTGTCATCCGGTTCATCCAGGGTGTGCTGATCTGCAACGGCTTTCTGGCAGCGCTGACCTTTGTAGCCGGTTTCATTGGCAAGTTTGTGCAGAATGAAGGCAAACAATCAGAGCACCTTCAGACCATGGACGTCCTTCAGGATATCTCGCGCGGACTGCGAGGGCCATTCGCCCTCGTGACCATTATAACGTGCAAGCATCATTTCCCTAAGCTCCACGCTGCAAGGAACCTTGTGCAGAAGAGACGTGATACAGATTTTACCAATCTCGGCTTTTCCCTCTTGTTGGCGTCTCTGGGAAGCTTTGTTTTTTGGGACTTCAGTGAATGGATTAAAGAGGGTGACTTCTCCATCGACAATATTACCGCCCAGTTCTCTAACTACAGTTCCACGTTTTCAAAGCTAGGAATCACTTTAATTCGCTGGAAGTTCTATGTTGGATGGTGCTGTATTGGTCTGTTGCCGGGTGCTTATTCGTTTTTGATACAAACGCTATTTTATCTGCATTGTCGTGAGCTGGAGAAAGGCGTTGATGAATACTACCAACAACTACAGGAACTTGCGAATATGTTGTGTCACAACAAAACTGTGCCTGGGCTGACACAGAAGATTGATGAGTTGTTGTCGATGCGGAACCGGTTGTACGCTTTGACCGAATGTATCAACGATGCTTTTCAGGGAACGGCTGGCGCACTGTTCTGCACCGATGTGGCCGTTATGCTGTTCAGTGCAGCACTGGTGCAAGTGCTATCGTCAAACCCCAGTTACTGGCAGTTGACCGGTGTAGTACTGTATGGATTCTATCTGATTGCGTTTCATTATCCGTTAATAAGCATTTCGTTCAAGGTACAAGTACGCGTGATTATCTGTTCTGCAACGGTTCCGTAGTAGCACAAGATTATTTTGCCGTTATAGGTGCGAGAATACGAAAAGGTCACTTGCTATCTCTTGGAAAGAGGAATTCAGAACAACAATTTTTCCACGGTACGCTTAAATTTTTGTTAATTTATAACTGTTAACATGTCTGTTTGAAGTGTGAACAACGAATAAAATACTGCACGCTAACGTTTCTGAAATCTGCAGGCAGTCGAAGTAAAGATGCATCTGGATGCTCTCATACTGCACGAAAGCCAGTTAAAGTTCGACATCTACGCTGGTGGAATTTTCCCACTTAATGGCGGCGCTATTCTGAAGGTCCCCCTTATAAATAAATGAATACTTATTTTTATCAAGTAGTTCTATAAGCACGCTAGGTAATAGTATTCGGTACTGGTTTTCAGGCGTTCACCTTAATTGCGACAATCAGCATTGCTGCCAATGAGATCACCAGTAAAGCCGACTCATCCCCACAGAATCTGTTACCTAACTGCGGCACTGCATGATCCTGACGTTCCCAACAAATATTAATAACTTTTCTTTGTTTGATGGTGCTGGCAGAGTTCTCTACCGGGAATCAGAGTAGCACGAAAAATAGTGCTTCAAATAATCCAACACTACGAGTGCATACATTGTGTAACCAAGGTTGGGGAACTGTTTTAGCCGGGCAATTGTAAACAATAAACCCGTCAGTTTACAAAGTGTCAAATGTCTTGATCAAATGCACACTGATGTTTCAGTACTTTTTATCCGGAAGGCAACATGTTTCGCTGTGCAGGAAAGGGAAAGTGCAAGAAGAAAGGAGAAAACTTTAAAATTTAGTGCTGCTGTCGGTACAGTTGTACCTCAGATCTCGAAATTTGTCTAAAGTTAGAACTCTCATAAACGATGGTAATAGTGTGTCACATGGCCGATAGAAAGATGCCTCTAAATAAGATAGATTCTACAGAGAAAAAAGAACCGGTCGATCCTAACATTATCCGATTTTCGAGATTTTTATTGCGGTTCCTCGGCATTAATAGCTCCTGTTCAAATCATGTTCGCTGTACGTTTCACCTTTTTGTACGGGTATTCTTATTATTAAGTTCATTGACGATGAGTGGAGTGTACACTGGAGGGCTCGTGGTAAAATTTTTGCGAATCGGTAGCAGAGTTCCCATCACTGATATAATCACCTACTTTGAAAGCATCATCGAGCCTATCCGTTCTCCGCTCATAATCATCGCGTTCTTCTGTGCGGAAAGACACCTTTCATGCCTGGAAACTGCGTTGCGCCGGGTTCTGTTTTATTCTTTCCAAGACGGTTCCAATACAGTCGAACGTGCTAAACGCGGCGTTCGTAATGCGCTAATAATGTTTAACGATGTATTCGAGAAACGCTGACATGGTTTTGTAAGCATATGGCTGGCCTCACTCGGCTGCGGAGTCTCGGAAAACGTCAGAACATGCTCGGCCACCGGAAGGAGCGTGTATACGTGTTATGGAAAGCAGTGTCACCTGGTCCGTGGCCAGGTGACCCTGATTCGTGGTCAGGGGTCGAAGACACCTGATCGTGCATTGCGGGGTGATACCCCTGATTCGTGGCCAGGGAGTGAGCTGGATCCTGATACGCGGCCAGGATGTCAGGCTGCCTTCCGGTGCGGTTCTGTGCAAGTAACATAGCGAGAGAGCAGCGCGAGTGAGTAATGGCCTTTAATGAGTTTCACACTGGTGCTGCTATAACTAACGAAGTCAACAAGACAAGAGTTAATTGCTAAAGGGTTGGGAAGGCGGGTAACAGGAAAATTGCAATTGCGTAAGCTCTCCAATTGCGTAAGCTCTTCGGTAGATAAGTAGCCACTCCGGCGGCGAAAAGAGCGCCGGCGTCGAGGTTGTTATGGGAGGCTCTTTCCGATGAGGAATGGTTTCAGCCGTAAGCAGATCCGGTACCGACATACCGTTGGCGTCCGCTGAAGGATGGAGCTGACGAAAACGTTGCAACTGGAATCGAGACAATGCGTCAGCAGTGCTATTATCAACGCCAGCGATGTGCGTAATTCTAATAATAAAATTAAACCGCGCCGTAACAAAGAATTCTGCGTATGAGCTCCATCACCGCTGGTTCCTACAACTGCCAGCTGACCATGTCTGAGCTGTCGCTGTATTATCGCAATGAAAAGCACTCGTTTTCCGCACAGCTGTTCATTCCAAATAACGCACGCTACATAGATTGGGTACATTTCCAGAAACGTTATCGGTGGGTTCACTTTAGCAGCCAACCCGGCCACGCGCCCTGGAACCACTCATTACCGAGCGTGCCTCCAAACCCATCGCTCCTGCCGCGTCAGTGTACAGATGTAGTACGCTTGCCGGTAACCATTCTGGTTGTACAAAGCCGGCCGTCCCGTTCCATGCCGGTAAGAACTCCTCCACCACGCAACATCACGACGGAATCCTCCGTCAGTGTAACTGGTGATACAGCCGATTCACCTTGCAGCTCAGTTGAATCATGCGTCTCAAAAATATTCGGCTGGCCGGTATACATTTCGTCACAAATGACAGCTTACCAATCAAGTCAAAAGTTCCTGTTTTGCATTGCGTACATGCGGAAAAGCTTTCGAGTAACTCTGTTAACTCTGCTAAACGAGCGGCCGACAGATAAGGTAAAGCTTTCACTGTTGATCTCTACACCGAGAAATTCAATTACCGTAGCCGGACCCACCAACTTTTTTCTCATTGATCGGAACACCCAAATACTACACACTGACTGAACCTGCATTACTAACCGCCCACATGCCCAACTTGCTGCTTTACCGCACATGAAAAATCGTCCAAAAAATGAAGAAACGTATCACTTCCCGTACACTTTTGAATATCCACTCGAGCATGCGGGCAAAGGTGTCGAACAAATACGGGCCTGAACGTAAACCGAACGGGACTACTACATCATGGTAAAACTGCCCTTCCATTCGTATCCCAGCAAATGCCAATCGCTCTGCCTGACTGGTAAATTACGAAATGCGCTCTCAATGTCTACTTTTGCCATTAACGATCCCCGCCCATGAAACATCACCATTTAACTGCATCATCTACGCCTACGTAAGTTAGCGAATACTTATCTTTCGGAATAAAATCATTCACGCTCAGTCCGAATGGTTGCGACAGATCCATAATAACTCGATGGCCTGACGGTCGCTTCGGGCGCAGCCCAAGTGGATTCACAAACAAAATTCGGATGTGGCTGCACTTTAAATGGACCCTTGCATGATTGGCTTGCACCTCCTTCATGATCATTGCGGTGATGACCTGTGGATCTTGGAGTGCTGAACGTGCGTTTGCGGTAAACCGGCGCACTTGTGGGCCGTTATATCCGATTGCAAAGCCAAACCTGAAACCCTGCAATAGAAACACACAGCCTCACGGTCATCATGCTCTACCAGTAATTCAGCGAGTCTCCGTCGGAAACGGGCGTCGCCACCTCCGGCCTTGGCGTTAGTACTACTGGCAGGCTTATGCTGGGCTGAATCGTGCTCGTGGACGGTGTGGTCGGCCGCCCTGCATGTTCCACACAAGTGCTTGAAGCGGCAGTTCGAACCGTTGGTGCATCTCCGTTGTTCCAGTTCCTGCACAAGTCTGTGGGATGTGTCGAAAGGGCCGATCCCTTTGCGTCTTTCTGTCCCTGTGCAGTGATCTGGAGCTTTTTCGGGCAGTCCTGATCTGTATGGTCCGCAATGCTGCAGTCGCGACATAATGGCAGATGAGCGAAGCGGATGCCTGGCTATACAGCGGTCCAGCAAGTTTCGATCCAGCAGGTTCCACTGATCATGGTTAGTGACATCACGGATGCGGCAGGCACGAAAAGTCTTATCATACTCCAACCACACTGGCGGCAGGTAGACACCTGCCATTTCAGTCATAATCATGGTAAGAATCGAGCGGTTGCTGAAGAGCGGGATAGTAATAACTGCGCACACGGCGAAACACAATAAATGCTTCGTTCACAGAGTGAACGAGGTAATCGTAATCTTCTTCGGCTTTGAATCAGAAAGAATAAAGTTTCCATCCCTAATCTCGAATTTAGCTTCCTGAATCGGCGACATGATGGTATTTGCTCTAAGCAATTTATCAAGTCAACGTTCACCGTAAGATCGTACAGTTCTTCAAGACATTTCACTGACAATTGGGAACCCAGCCGGCAACGGTGGCGGTTTCTTACTGTTACCTCGCTCCGGTGTTGGTGGATGGCGCCGCCTGGGCCTCGTTGACCTTCTGAGTAAGCTGGACAGCTTGATTCTGCTGATTCATCGCGAGCTCAGCTATAGTCGTTTCCGTCGGTGGTGGCTGTGGAGGCTGTGGTGGTGGGGCCTTGATGTCGACAAGACAGGGATGACGTCCGCATCCTTCTGCGCTAACAACGACTGCAAATGCTGCCTTGCCATGGCAATCTGAGAATCCAGATCTCCTGTGCTTCCCGCGCCAGTACTTCCACCAGATGCCGTCGGACGGGTAATAGGGTTCGCGCGCGCACGCGGACGGCCGCGAGCTGGCCGTGTCGCAGGCGGTCCCGGCGCATTGATCTCCTACCGCGCCGTCCAGTCATGCTTTATGTGAAAACACAATGCTGACAACAACGATAACAGGAAAATTGCAACGTTAACTTTCAATGATCAACATCCAATTTTGACACACACGAAAAGTGAGGATAACAGGCAAAGGACTCGCACATGCCGAAAAACACCAATGCGATAAATACAACTAGGCCAGCGTGAGATAGAACTGACGGTTAGGTAGTCCAGGCAAAAGGCAGTTTGCACACCGTCCGCACAGGAAAGGCAGGCGATTCGCTGGCACACATGCTGGTGCTACATTCCAGGAAGGAAGAGAAAATGCATCTGTCGGTTCGCTCAAAGTCCGGCGGCTAATCTTTAATGTCCTGTGCAGAAAGAGAGTAGCTCTTGCCGGCGTTTCTCTCGCATCGTTAAAACAAGTTAGCGATTAAACGCTAACTTCAATTAGTGGTGTGACTCTCGCATATTATACTTGGAACTTAATTACTTGGACGACGACCGACAATACTGATTTTAGGTTTGAATCCTTCTGGAATCAGATCAGTCCCACGTTTGACTTGCTCGGTGTTAAATTAATTCGATGGAAGTTTTATTTAATGTGGTGCTTGCTTGCTTTACCATCGTTTGTGTATGCAATTGTCATTCAGACGCTGTTTTTCTTGAGCGGATACATTCTCCGTTCAGGGCAGAAGTTATTTCTGCTTCAGCTGCGGCAAACTACTGTTGCCGATGGAAGCCAGGAATTCTGCAACAAACTGCAGCTTCTGTTGGATTTCCACAAGGCGTTATTCGGATTAGTGGAAATAATCAATTCGGCGTTTGGATGGATTGCCGCCGTTGCGTTCTATGTGGATGCGGCGGCCATGTTAACGCATAGCGCCGGGGCCAAACTACTGTCGACCAGCTCGACGCAATGGTTTGAATTTTCTGGGACGGCGATTTTCCTCCTAACCATGATCATCTTTCCCTACCCATTCCTAAAGATCAATGAAACCGTATGAATTTATTGTAGCACTCTGTAACTACGTACCTTTTAGTGACCGCTTTCAAACAGAAAATAAACATTGTCTTTGAGAGCAAAACTCGTTACCCTTGTCATAATTGTTAACTGATGCGTAAAAAATTGTCATGTTTTTTAGGATCACATTATTGAGACCAAATTATATGTCCTGTCGCGAGAAGCGTTGCCTCTGTTTTCTGCACCGCAGGTACTATTTTGAGCAATCTGAAGGACTACACAAACCTTGCTGCGCCGACTCGTTGTATTACATTTCATCGACTGCAAACCAAATTAACCTGATAATTAAGCCTTTTTCAGGGGTCGGAAGTGAAGCTACTGTTGGATATGCTGCTTCTTTCACAGCAGAAGCTGAAACTGCAATTAAAAGCCGGTGGATCGTTTAATTTAACATGGTCATTGATGACGAAGGTGATGTCTCCAGTACTTTCAGTTTTATTTTACGCATTCCTCATAAAACTGCAATTCAGCCACAATCAATTTTTCCATTTTTTAAAATTTTATGTACCGTATCTGATCCCTTGACCTTCTTTATGAACTTGTGGTTGTATCTGCAGACGTTCGCCTTGATTGCTTCAATTACTGTGATCGCCAACGAACTCATCTCCAAAGATGACAGTATTCAGCAAAGGCTGCAGAACTCCAGCTCCTCATTTCAATGAATGAAAACGTGTCCCATGTCCTGGCACAGGACGAACAAAGATGACTGTTTCATCACATTTCATTTGCAACGGAACTACGTTAGCAATATAATTGGTTTGTCTTTTTGTTAATTCTCTGCTTCTTCGACTCTTCAGGACTTGTAAATGGCTGTGTAAAGCCGTATTTAGGAAAGTTCCTGTTTCTGTGTCCCTTAGCAAAATCCCACATTTGTAAGTAGTGTGCACCAGCAATTTCAAGGCAAGTGTACAATTTAATCAAGTCCAAAACAATAAAACTATGAAACTTTCAAAAGAGGACTTAAAATTACGATAATTCGCAGCACAACTAACTTTCGTCATTTCCTTCGTGTCAACCAATTGTGAAACAAGAGTGTTACTGACGACATTTTAAAGACACAAAAAGGTTTTTGCAGTACCGCCTTGTTTTAAATTTCTGAGCAGAAAAATACAGTTGCAAGCTCTACTTGGTTGCAACATGAGCTTAATAAAATATTTCTCTAATTCCACACGACCAAATTTAAATACATGTCAAAGACTTCTCATGTTGGTTCATCATGCTGGGAATGACGGCATTCCTGCTATGTCATGCCTCCAGAGGCAGATGCGTTACGTAACGGAAAGCTGGTCAACAGCTTGCTTCCTCTAGGTGTGTGATAAATAATTTGTCCAGCTAAGCACGACCTGGGACCACCGGGAGGCCTTCCTGCCTCTCCTTTACGTGTCTTGTTTTCCTTCTTGAGCGAGACAATTTTTCATCGCATCCAGAGAATTCCCATCAGAATTTTTCTGTAGGAGTTACGAATGTATGTTTTACTGAATGCATGTTTTACTCTGCGCGGAGTGCAGCACGGTATAACGGTTTTCCTGACAGTTATTTTTCTAGCTAGGTAACTTTTACTAGTATGGGCCTCGATTTTTTATTAAATTAATAATTGCGCATAAATAGCCTAGAAAATGACTTTAGAAAAGGTTGAATGCACAAGCAGCAAACAACCAGCAGAATATAGTATTATTCGGTGTGCAACAGCTATGTTGAGATGCCTCGGCATAACCACCAATATTTCAAAGCGTTTTTATGTCCATCATCTGGTACGCGCCATCCTGCTGGCGTGCTCACTGACAATCAGCGGGTTCTTCCTGGGTGGATTGGTTATGAAATTTCTTCGCATTGATGGGCGTGTTCCTCTCGCAGATATCATCGTATACCTCACCGGTATTATTCAGCCACTACGCTCCCCGATTTTGATAGTGGCATTCTGCTTTACCGAAAAGCATTTATCTGGAATAGTTGCTGCTTTTAAACGGGTACTACTGTTCCCTTTATATCACGGTACGAACACGGCTGAGCTGGCTAAAAACGGCGCGCATAATGCTTTAACGATTCTGGTCGTCGTGATTGCTGTGTATTATATATGGAATTTGAGCACGTGGGTCACTTCGGAAACAGCAGTTATAAATTTACGACACTAGTTACCACAGTCAGTCCCACTATGCAGTCATTCGGAATTTCATTGGCTTTGTGGAAATTTTATTTAATTTGGTGTATCCTGGCACTGCCGTCGTTTGTTTATGTGACAATCATTCAAGCTTTAGTTTTTCTCTGTGGATACGTTTTGCGATCAGGGCAAAGCAAGTTTCTGGAACAGCTACGAAAGGTCAGCGTTGGGGACGGCCGACAAGAAGTTATGAAAAAACTGCAAGTTCTTCTGGATTTTCACAAGGTGTTGTTTGATTTGGCTGAAATCATCAGTCATGCGTTTGGTTGGATTGCCGGTATTGCGTACTACGTGGATGCAGTAGCTGTGCTAACGTATACCGCGACTACGAATATCTTGTCGGGCAACCCACTTTGGATCGAATTTTTTGGAATGGCTTATTTTTTTACGACAATGGTAACGTTTCCTTTTCCGTTCTTGGAGATCGATCAGACAGTAAGTCAACTTTTGTGTTATGCAACAACTTCTGTTTTCAGTTCAAATGTTTAAATGTTCCATTCAAATGCAAACAGACCATTTTCAGGATTGCATTAGCGAGACTGAATTATGTATGCTCTCCCGAGAAGCGCCACCACTGTGCTCTTGGCCGGAGGTATGCTTATTCCTTGCAATTGTTTCTGTATAAAAAGGTTTAGGGAAGGATTAGGTCTAACGATTATACAAACTTTACCGGCCGCCAGGATTTTGCATACACCTTTTGCGTAGACGTGGAGTCTGGTCGTGCTTACCAGCAAATCACAGTTCCACATTGTCAGACTAACTCGTCTCTTTTTTTCCATAGGGATTCGACCTGAAATTACTGTTGGATGCCATGCTACTTTCCCAGCAAAAGCTCAAGCTTCAAATCAAAGCTGTGGGATCATTCAACCTAACATGGTCCTTAATTGTTAAGGTACTGTACAGAAAACGGTGGATAAAATGAAAATTTTGTGTCGCTAATTGCAATTTTTTTCCCCTGCTATGCCACCATGAACTCTAAGAAATTTAGAGCTTGTCATTTTCATCGGTTCATTGTTTTACTTTAAAATTCATACCAGCTTAAGCTTAATTATTCAGCTGCGATGTGAATTATTTGGCCAAAAATGTTTTGAATACACCTGCGTAATTACAGTAGTGCAGCATTAGGGCTCACATGCCATTAGCTCCTGTGAAATTTTTCTCTGTTATTTTGTACATGCAGACGGTTGCTTGGATTGCATCTATCTCCGTAATAGCCAACGAGCTGATGCCGAAGGATGACAATATCCAACAACAATTGCGGAACTGCAGTTTTCCGATTACTTGAAGAAAAGCCCAACCAGGCAATGGCAACGTCTGCCAAGGCATTTTTGTGTTATTACTTCAGTTGTATGTCTGGTTTGCTTGTATGTCTACTTTAGTAATTTAAATTACAATTTAATGAAAGGTCACAGTGACCTCGATGCATGTCATACATGATGTGATCGCTTCCGTTTGTATTGAATAACATTAATTTTGTTATTCAGATCGAGCACTCGTATTGTTTGCACTGAGCACAGCTAACGTGTTTCTAATGATGTCGATGGCAAAAAGTATTAATTTTTTCTGCTTTCTTACGCTTTTCCAGTTCCTAGATTTTTTTCCCAGCGGTAATGGGATCTGCTGGATATAACTTTTACCGGCATATACCTTCGTAATTTTCATTTAAATTAACACAAAGTGAATTAACGCTACATACTGTATAACTGTTTATCAAAAGCAGGCGCACAAGCGTGCCCTAAGTAGCATACTACCGTAGTTGCAAACGCTACGCAATCATAGTTCATGCCGAATGAGCGGTAACGCCAAAGGCAAAATGCATGAAGTGGAAAATATGGTACAAACCAGCTACCGGGTAGTCTTTGTTGGTCGTTTACAAGAGACTACTTTCGGAGGTTTCTTAGGTGCAAATTCTCGCACGTCCTAATAGTATTATGTGTAAAACAATGGCAATTTGTTGGTTTGATAGTTTACCGGACCGGAAGTTGCAACCACACTTGAGCTCGTTGCCCGACGTAAAAAACGCTGTTTTTTGGCATAAAACTGGCAGCAGACTCTTGTCACGCCGTTAGAGCAGTTTGAAAAATGTGCAATTAGCGTATCCTTTTTTGTTACAGTGCAATCTAACTTTGTCCATTTGCAGGACTGGACTTGGTGTTTCCCGCCTTTTATTTTACAGTAGTGGAGGACTGCGTTCCCCGTTACCACGAATACGTTATGTTTTCGGGGATCAGGAGATTGTTGGTTGTCGGTTATGCCATGATCGGAGGCGTTTCGTTGCAAACTACAAATACGCCAGTTTGCAATCATACGCCGGCCCCAGACTATGCAACAAAATGCAACGCCACGAACGGCTTCACCTTGCCCAACGGACGGTTTATCGACCAGTACACGAAATTTTGCGATTGCACAGAGAGAGTGTTAAGCGTTCAACAACAAACCTGCCTAGGAAGTAAGCGCCGACCACCAGTAAAAAACCCCATTATTATAACTGGATTTTTAGATCCAATGTTAAATAGGCTTTCCTGCACTGAGTACAAGATGGCTCGTTATCTTGTACCTATATTAGCCACTTGACTGGATTAACGTGAGAACATGCGTTTTAGGCAAAATAATCCACAACGTAGCGTTTACTACTCACAGTTGTTACATACTGTAGTAGGTTTTTTGATACTGCACTTTTTGTACCTTACATTTATCGCTACTAGTACTGATCACCTTTCAGCGCTCGATTTGGCTTTCCTTGAGTGCAATCCCGACGGCACATTCAACTGTGTTGTGCACTGGTTTGGGCGGCCCTTTTGTAGCAACAACAGAGGAGGCACAACAAATCTGACTTATCCCGATTGCGGCATGCAGGAAGCTTTTGCCAGTCAGCATGCATTCGCTATTCGCAAGACGCTAATCAATTCCGGAATGTGGGACAGTGCACGTGCGACTTAGCAAGAAGGCAGCAAATGGACTCGACTTGTAAGTCCTGTTGTTGGTGCTGTGTTTCCAGTCATTTCGCGTTTACATAATAAACTGATACAAAAAAGCACGTAAACATATGTTTACATCCATCAGGTAAACATAACATGAGCATTCACATGATCATTTGCTAAAAAATCTGTATCAATCAGTATTCATTATACAACCCCATTCAAGAATTTCAAGCTATGCCAAACGCTGCATTTCATTTTCTCTACAGCTTATACTCCTACCCTACGTTTTGTAGTGTCCGACATGGATAAGTATGTGCCACAGTGCAACGCAGATGGATCCTGGAAGAACATTCAAACGGGATACGGAGGATCGTGGTGTGTCAATTCCACCGGTGACCCGACCGGGGCTATATCGTTCAGCACCTTGTATCCACCTACGTGTTTGTAGCGACGTTACCCATGCACTTTCTGGCTTGCGTGGTATTCGTATGACACTAAATATTTGTTTTCCAAGACTGTGCGTGACTCATATTTTTCAAAAATGTCTTTAGCGGTATCCTGTACTCGCGCCTACTTGAAGTTCACATCGAGTATTACGGACGAGTTTGGTAAAAGAAGTTTTTTTGCGTTAGTACCTGGTTACCTTACCCGGCAAACAGGCAAATAGTACCGAAACTAATCTTTGCAAAAAATCGATGGTATGAACATCACACCTGTGAATACAAATTTTCTATCGACTAAATGTGTGTACTGAAATTTAGCGGTTGCATTCGCAGATCTTGACGGCAATGCCGCTTAAACAAACAATAATGTTAAAACTGTCAAAACGCTTGCGAAAATTCTGAATAAACGCTTTTATTCCAAATAATACAGATATATGTGGTTGCTCAGATTACAGTAGCATTCTGGTTATTAAAGCCTGGTTCGTATTCAAAGGGATGTTAACTATTTTTGATCTGCAGTTCACGCTGACAAGCAGTTGCAGGTGCAGTTCCGAAAATTCTCCCCGGAACTGTCATCGCTTGAGATAAGTTCGTCGGCAACAACAATGATGGTCGCGACGAGAGCAAACGTCTTGAAACACGAAAAACAAAATAATACAAGGTTTAGGTGAAGTCATTGCACTCAAAACTGTATGAAACTGCAATGTTAGCGAAATGCAGTGAGTAAAATACCTTTATCATTAAAGACCAGGTTAGATGCAGTGATCCACCGACTCTTGCTTGAAGTTTCAACTTTTCTTGAGAAAATACCAAAGCCGTTAACAGTTTCCTGACGTCATCGCTCTGGAAAATTGTTTTCGCAATTCAGTCATTTTTTATTAGCAGCTCGTATGCCAAAAAGATCGGAGTACGCAGTTTTGAAGATCGAAGTACACATTCGTATGTCTGCGTGCCTTGAAGTACCTGCTCAGACATTGCACGTAATGCCGCATCTCGAGATAAAACGTACAGTTGAGTGCTCACAACAACGTCCTGCAAAATAATTTAATGGTGATGTAGTATATCGTCAAAAGTTTCTGGGGCTGTACATAATTATAATCACCGTTGCATCGATTTCTAAGAACGGTAGCGGAAAGGCAATCATAGTCCATCCACTCATAACTGCCCCTATAAACTGTATCCACTCAGGGTGATTTGACAGCAGCCTGGCGGCAGCGACATGTGTCAGCATTGTAACAGAGTCCAGGTAGTAGGCAGCTGCCGCGATCGATGCAAATGATTTGTTGATGGTTTCAGACAACTCAAATAGAGCTTTATGAAAAGCTAAAAGGTCATGCAGTTTTTGTAAGAATTGTCCCCTTCCGTCTGACACGCTGACCTGCTGCAACTTTTCGAGAAAGTACAATTGACCTTTATGCAGGACATAACCACTGATGAAATACAGCGACTGCACAGTGATGCCATAAATAAACGGCAGAAACACTAAGGCGCACCAAATTAAATAAAATTTCCACCGGACTAACGATATCCCCAGTAAAAGAAGCGTTGGACTGAAATTATCAGTCAACGTGTTAAAATTGTATGCTTTGTCATCAATAGTGGTCCAGGAGGCCGAATTCCAGAGATAATAGCCGATGGTTATGAAGGCGAATAAAAGCATGGTTTTATGCGGATCATTCTTTAATAAAGGAACAATGTTTGCGCCATCACAGAAAGCAAAAAAAATTACTCGGCGGAGAGAATCGTTCAGTTGTGACAGATGTCTCTCAGCACGCCAGAGCGTTAGAATGATGATCGGAGAACGTATAGGATCAAAAATCAAGGCAAAATAAGAAATTATGTCGGTAAACGGAAGACGCCGGCCGCTTTGTATGAACTGCATTGCCACAGCAGCAGCACAGATAGCGCTCGTTGACAAGGAGCCCAGAAACAGGATTATTCGTATTAAGTAATGCAATCGTGATCGGTATTTTAATGCTGTATTTTTGGGATCAACAGCCGGTATACCAAGTAATCCAGACAGTATTTCAACGGTCCGGATGATGACTGGTCGTTCAACGAATTTCGCTTTCATTTTGTAATCTAAACTTATCAACTGCCGCAGTGTGCACCCAGCAGCCTCATATCGTAACTTTAGAAAATTCCGAACTTATTGGATACAGGATATCCCACGCTCTGAACGTGTGATTCCTGAATTGCAGATTACTGCCCAAAGATTGTCGTACTCTCGTAATTACTGGAATAGAGAATTCCCAAGTGTCAGCATGCGTTAAAATTTGTATTTGCTACCGCACAATACCAGTCTTCTACAAATGAAACACGCGCCACAGAGGTACTCGCATGCACACACAGTTGTAAAATACAACAGAATCTATGGAATGATAGAGATGACTGGCTGGAGTCACGGTGACCCTACGATGCTTTTTCTGTGTTGCCGACCGATCAATTACAAGCCGACGGCAGTAACGAAATGTAGCTAAGCCAATTGTATGAGGCACACTGTCAGCCAGTTACTATAATTATGATCATATCGGTTGTTCTAGCTACGAAGGTTCTAGCTCCATTTAATTTACTTTCAACAAATTTGTAATTGTCTGCATTCTATGTACAACTTGTATACAACACATGTTATATATTTTTCGGTAACGATATGCTACAACATTCAGCCAGCAATATTCTTTTAAATTTGTCGCATTTCCGTTTAACATGTTTAGAATTTTACTTGGTTTAAAGGGAAGCACACGAGCAATTTTGAAATATTTTGTGGGAGACGTCGTCCCTGGATGTCAACTCGTTCGTAATGATGGTGATGGATGCCAGCAAAGCAAATGTCTGGAATATAACAAAAAAATAAAAGAGTATAAGATATGTCCTATTGCACAAGCGTGAATTCACCTTGAGAATCAGAGACCACGTTAGACGAATCGAACCACCGGCTATCGTTTGCAGTTTCAGCTTAGCATGCGAACGTGTCAGTGTGTTCAAAATAACATGTAAATCGTTCCCCTAAGGGTATAAAATTGCTGTTGTAATCTGGAAAGATTTTATGTTAAGGTATGGCGATTATACATGCTTTACCTGCGAATTAAGAATAAGTGACATAGCGTCTTGAGACTGAATGCAAAGCTCAGCTTCAATCGCGGAATCCTAAAAACACGCACATATTAAGTACGCACTACAAGCATGGCACAGCAATGGTAGCATAGGAAAATTCTACTTCAACCCATACATTCTTATCAATCTGCAGAAAAGGAAAAAGAAACGCGATCATGGCTACAGCAAAGTACACTGCTCCGATCACTTGGACCCAATCTGGTTTATCGGACAATAGTCCGGCTTCGGCGATGTGTGTTAGAAACTGGAAAGAATCTGCACTGTATGCAACAACTGCGATCCACCCGAATGACTGATCGATTATGTTAGATAACTCGAACAAAGCTCTATGGAAATTCAGAAGCACCCTCAAATTTTGCTGGAGCTTTTCCCGGCCACCGACGGCGCGAAGTTGCCGCAGCTGATTTAGAAACTGGCATTGACCTTTGTACAAAATATATCCACTGAGATAAAACGAGGTCTGTATAACAAGAGTGTACACGACTGGTATCAGTGGTATGTAAGAAAGAGTGCACCACAGTAAGTAAAACTTCCACCTCGTCCACGCTATCCCCATCTCTTGCATGGTAGGACTTATCTGATCGGTTAGAGATCCGATACTGTATACCTTTTCTCCCACGTTCAGCCATGCGCCAAAGTCCCAGAGAAACAATAACCAGGAAAGACCCAGGAAAATTATTACAGCATTACGGGTGCCATACTTTACGGAATGCACCGTGTTTAGGCCACCAGGAAGTGGGAAGCACAAAACGCTTCGAGTAGCGTTTTCCAGCCGCGATAGATTCTGGTGGACACAGCAAAATATAACGATCATAACTGAGGAGCGTAAAGGATGAGCAATTGACGTGACGTAAGAAAAGATGGTAACAAATGGTGCACGCCTGCCATTGTGAATGAAATGCATTACTAGAGAGAAGGCGTAAATTGTGCTGATGGAGAGTGCACTTAGTAGTAAAATCAGCCGCACAATACAGTGGAAGCGTGATCGCGTGCATCCTTTTTCATGCCCCTCCTGCTGGGTAGGTGTGCCAAGAAATCGCGCTAAGATAATAATTGTTTGGAGGACATTTGGTTGTTCAGCTGATTTAGATTCCGTTGAGCTCATTTTCTCTGGAGTACAAATTGTCGACGGTGTCGTTATGCAGCAAGACATGACCAAATTTTTGTTGCTCCTATGAGAACAGCCTCAGCAATTCAGTGAATGGTCGTAAAAATTAACAAGATAAGCATACCGGTGGTATACGTGCTTTGCTAACTCGTTGAATAGTGTCTCAGGAGGGTATTACGCATCAGTACTGTGCAACTTTTTGCAAAGTAATCTGCTTATTTCTCTAGGGTGGGATTAATGTGGAACTGTAAGATAGCTATAGCGCAGTGGGAATGTTGAGCAAGTAAAGCTCCTTTCAAAGCCATTACTCAACACAAAACTCCCCCTGTGTACGGACAAATGGGAAAATGTAAATACTGTATTACCGCAGGTTGTATAAATGCTGTAATGCACTTTTTTGCTCCGGAAATTAAAACCTCGTGTTCACTGTGCCGCCATCATTGCCGCCATCAGCTCACAAGATGGACAGGATGAATAACGAAGTTTCCAAAACGCCAAGAATCTTATGGATTACCAGGTTAATTTACAAGATTCTTGGCGTAGAAGTGCGGATTAATCTTGTCAAGGAACACTGGAAGCGAATGGTTCCATCGTGTCGTGCGTTTCCTTCTTTTCTGCAGTTCTTTGGTGATTAGCCGTGTGTACGCGTCTGAGCTGTTAACACAGTTTGTCCGCACTGGCAACCGGACTGCGTTCGGGGAGGTCATGTATTATCTGGAGGACATTATTCAACCAATGCGCCCCCCACTTATAATTCTGGCGTTCTCTAAAGCGGAAAAGCATATATCCAAACTGGATGAGGCACTGCGTCGTGTTTTATTTTTCCCACTCTGCGATGGCAGCCAAACCATTATACGCACACGGAAAGGTGCTTGCACTTTGCAGTGCCTTGGTCATTTTCTGCGGATTAGTTTTCCTGTATTGCTTATGAAGTGTTAGCGAATGGGGCAAAGCAGATAACAAATTACAATGGGATTTCGATATACTTCTCAATAACACCAGCCCAACATTGGAAGTCCTCGGGATAAAGGTGATGCGATGGAAATACTTCTTACTGTATAGTGTACTCACCTTTCCCTCGGTCGTATACTGCATGTTTATCCAAACGCTGTTTTTCCTGTGTGGTTTCGTTCTTGGGAAAGGTCAAGAGCAATTGTTAAAACAACTGCAGCAGATTGCAATATGGTGAAGATTTATGTGAGAAAGTACACATGCTTTTCCAGTTTAACACCTTATTTGAATTAGCCGAAATGATCAATGCTACCTTTGGGTGGATCGCAGCAATGGCATACTGTGTAGAGGCAGTGGCCATGTTAACCCAAACTGCAGGCGCAAAAGTGCTGTCGGCAGAGTCCAACTATTTTGAACTAGCTGGAACGGTGATGTTTGGATTAATAATGGTGACATTTCTATACCCGTTTTTGCAAATCCATCACCGGGTAAAGACAATAATTATTTTTAAAATTAGGTTCTGTTGGACTGTTATTGTAAAACACAGAACATGTCATCAGGATGACACAATCCAGACTGAAGTATGCCAGCTGTTATTCCGGAAAGCGATCGCCACTCCGGAAATAGAGGTAAGTTTTCCTTTAAATAGCAGATTTATTTACTACTGCAGGGCTTTGAGCTGGGCGCTTTGGTCTACGGAGACAACAAAACAAAACCTAAAATAAACAACCGTTAGGAAACGTTGTTTAGAGGTCCAAAAGCAATCATCCACAGCATCAAATTTGTTGATAGGGCAAAAGACTGAAGCATCTGCTGGAAAGCTTTCTACTGGCCAGCCAGAACCTGAAATTACAGATGGAAGCAGGCGGATTTTTTTATATAACGTGGTCATTAATGTTGAAGGTATGTTTTGAAGGTATATAAGGTGAAGGTTAATCAGTATGTGCAGTATATCTGGTGAGCCTCTTAATCTCATGAAAATCAAATCCTGATCCTG